TTTGTAGTTTCCCCAACAGTCACTGGGTCACTGGCACCAGCTGGTGTTTGGAACAGTTCTGGGGAGCCAGCCAGGTCTTCCAGGGGTGGAGCCCTGATCTTAGGTGTCCGTGACCTCCTCTTGCTCCCCACTGAACTTCCTGTGAAATCCAGTTTCTGCTTTGGAGTTTCCATAAAGACTGTGGTGTCATTCTCTTCCTGCATGGGTGCTGGTGTGCCTGTGGCTCTGCCTGGTGATTCTTTCTCAAGTACAGAAAGTTCTCTCACATTCACCCTAGGACCCATCTTGGACAGTCTCTTTGTGCTTGCTGGGGTCCTAACCGATTCTGAATATGGAGATTTGCTGGGCATTTTAATGATTTTGTCCCCAGGGACTGGTGATAGAAAGAGTTCTTGGAAACCAGTTAGGTCTTCCAGGAGTTGAGGCTTTTCCTCAGTTTTTCTTAGCGACCTCCTGCTTCTAGTTATTGTTGGGGTCAGCATTTTACTTTCATATTCCTTCAAAGCTTTGATGTCCCCATGCTCAAGTTCTGGAACTTTGGGACTGTGCCTGGCTCCCCCTGACACGTGCACTAGTTTCGTCAGTGCAGGGAGTTCTTTCTTCACATCTGCTTTCTTCCCAGACATACTGGACCGTGCCTTTGCACTTGTTCTGGTGTTATCTGCTGTAAGTTGTGGGTATTTGCAAGGGACTTTGGTTTCATCATCATCTATGAGTTCATCTCTGCAGTTTGGTGTTTCGAAGATTTCCTTGAGACCAGCTGGGCCCTCTAGAAGTTGGGTCTTTTTATCAGGTGTCTTTAGGCAGCATTTCACCTTGGCTGCATATACCGCTGGGTCCACTTTTTGTTTTGTAGCTTCTTGAACATCACCTTCTGGTGTGCTTTGCATATGCATGGATTCCTCTGGGTTATGTGTGGTTCCTTGCTCCTGATTAAGTAGTTCCTCAGCACAGACCCCTGTTTGGGTGACCATCTGACTTCTTATTAAGTCTTTTGCTAGCTTTTGCTCCCTGGCACTTGATCTCATAGCTAATGTCTTTTCTGAACCTTCCTTTAATTTGGTATTTTCCTTGCATCTTTGTGAAGAGTTTTCACAGTCCTGCACCTGTTGATCCACTTCTTGTCCTCGCAATGATGTCTTTCTTAAGTGTTTTCCTGTGATGCCATCAGCAAGGTCTGCTTCTGTTTTTTCATTCATACTATCTTCAAGGGTATGCCTGAGCTGTCTAGATCGTCTTGTCCTGCTCACACTGGATGCTGTCTCCAGAAGCTCGGTGTCAGAGCCTGGAGTCTTCTTCTCAAGGTGAGTAATGTTATGGACGTTCTTGGGGATTTGCACTCTGCTTCCATTTTTGATGCTCCGCCGTTTTAAGGTAGGACTTGCAGAATATGTATCAGATGGCTCCTTTGCTGCATTCTGTGTACTGGAGGGCACATTTTCTCCTGTAAGAAACAAAAATAAGTAGACAATAAATGTATTTTATTCTCACCATCTAAGGTCAACACAGTATTTTGTATTTAGAAAGTTTAGAAGAACCAACAATTTAACTTCTTATCTACAAAGCTACTAGATGATCTCAAGTCTGTCCTATTTACTACAATCCATTAAATGTAATCCATTATTTGGTGATAGGGCAGGGCCAATGTGAAGTGTCAAGAAGGGTCTTCAAAAGCCTGACATGACACGTGACACGGACTTAAATACAGACAAGTTTTTTTCTGAAACATCAGAAATAGTTATCTATTATCTTCATTCACTAGTGAAATAACACAGCTTCTATTATGTATGTTTAGAGTCCAACTCTGTATGTAAGCAATGATGACCTTAGGTTCCTCCTGCCTCTACTTCCCAAGTTCTGGAACTACAGCCACATACCACCACATTAAGTTTTTGCAATATTAAGGACTTAACCCAGAGTTTTTCTGCACTCCAAGCAAACACCCTACCAATTGAGTTATATCTCTAGCCTTGCAATAATTTTTAATTTATGTAATTTATATATAACTATGACAGGTCAAGTGTACCATTTGTGTATCTGTCCTCTTATAGGAAAGAAGTTAAAAGCATACAGACATCATTTAAACTTATTAACTGAATCAATAATTCTTCCTATCAAGCTAGGTCAATGACTGCTAGAAAAATAGTAAGGACTGCTTGAAAACAGAACAGAGAAGGTAGAAGATGGCATTTCACCAGGGAAAACAATTGTAGAGAAGAATTACAGTATGGTCTATAAAGAAAAAGTTCACCTTCAAGTCTACATTTAAAAGTATGAGAGGAAATAGACAAATAAACCAACCTAAAATCTCTGAGGTGATGGGCAGAGGTGTGCCTCCTGAACTAGTTACTTGAAACTGTTTTTCAGGCAAATTATCTGAATTGGGAAGAATGGAGTCCATGTCAGTCATCTGCTGCTGCTTCTCCTTTACTGGAGTCTTGAACATTTCAGTTAGTCCTGATAAAGGAAAGCATTGGAAACATGGCTTACATTATCCTATATCTCACACAGGACAATCTAGATGACAAAGAGGCCTTCAGATTCCAGGTATGCATCATCTCATTAAAATGGTGATTTTGTTAATGTACTCATTTAAAAAGACAAACATATACAGCTTCTTTAACCCTCTCCTATGAAATCATAGGATTTAGTTGACCTCTGTGGTTTTCTAAACTAGTTCTCAAAAATAAGTCCTGGCAGGGGACAAAAATTAGGCATGGGTACCTCCCCTCAGGTTATCAATATATTCCAAGAATCCAGAAATCCCTGACTAAAGGGCCTTATTCTGTGCTCAAGAAGTCCTAGGTTTTTCAGACCTAAATCCTATGTACAGATGCGTTCCCACATTTTAGAGTATTGATAGAACACTGACCATTTTCAGTGCTATCAGAAACACAACACCCACTGACACAAACACACACACTTTAATTTAAGTATCAATCCCACTCACTTTAACACCAAAAGGCAGTAGTTACATAACTCCATATGGAAGATAAAGCTTCCTGAAAAGCTCATGTTTTATGGTTCTGTCTTGTTGGTATCACAGAATGAAAACTTGAGTTGCCTGGGAATGGGCCTGGGAACTGTTGAAGTGCCTAGCCACACTTACTGAAATATCAGTGTGTACTTTCTAATGTTTTAAAATGGAAGCTGCCAGGACAGACATGGTAGCCCTAATACAGCAGGGGCAGGTAGATCTCTGTTTGAAGCCATACTAAATAATAGTAAGATGCTATTTCATTAAAAAAATGGGGGGGGGGGGGGGGGGCAGGGTGAGAGGAGAAAACTGCTTACACCAGGGGATGAAACTTGTCTGGTTCCAAGAATCAGCCTAGAAGGAACACTCAAGACAATTCACTGTCTTAGGCACTGTGAATTTAAAATCTTATTTAAGAGTTTAAAAAATATGGGGCTGGAGAGATGGCTCAGTGGTTAAGAGCAGTGTCTGCTCTTCCAAGGACCAGGGTTCATTTCCCACATGGCAGCTCACAACTGTCTCCATTTCCAAGGGATCTGACACCTTCACGCTGATGCACATAAAATAAAATTAAATAAATTATTAAAATATATATAATATATATTAATCAGATACTCAATATATACATACATATATATATACACTTAATTCACTTTGTTTTTATCTTTTGTTATTTTTATAAAGATAAATGAATTGATCAAAATACAGTTCTTTTAGGGGCTATTTCACAAACATTAGACACCGAGGTGTTTTGTTATTTTCATTTCCCAATCTGTAATAAATAAAAATAAGATTCTATCCACTCAGTTCAAATCTTAATTCTCTTCCAAATTGTACGGGCAAGAACTATCACATACAGAGGAACATGAAACAAATCTGCTTTCTTGAGCATAAATTTAAGCCAGCAAGCCATACTTACTGATACTCAAAACACAGTGGAAACAGTTATCAATAGCTAACAAAAAAAAAAAAAAAAAAAAAAAACCAAAACCAAAACCAAAAAAAAACCTCTTTCTTACATGGCTTCCTCTTGGCAATCAGTTAAGTGAATCTTGAAGCATTAATATTGCTCTAAACCAGCCTATTCCCTGGAATTAGCCATCAGCACAACTCCTCCAAATATACTGGAACAGAGCCAATAGTCCTCATGCCACAGTGCACCTGTCCATTTTCTGTCACACAAGCTGCTCACCAGAGGGCATACACTAGAGATTTCAATCCCTGCTTCTTGTAGGACACAGATTCCCCCAAACTGACAGATCTGTCCTCTACTCCCAACCAATTTCACCTTTGAATATTATGACACTAGAAAGCTGGCGTGATTATTTATTTTGTAGTCACTCACTGCTACAGGGCTCCCAGCTGGGGTTCTAAGGTTTAAGAGACGGGGTGAGATGAAGTAAGAAGCATCAAAGTCACAAACAGGATCAAAAAGGCTGGGGCTACTGGCCTTCAGGATTTGTTTACCTGACAGGTCTTCACTGAAGTCCATTTTTCGGTTTAACATCAATTTGCTCAGCATTTTGTAGGGCCGAGCAGGCACGCTTACTTTTTCAATCTGCGTTCTCCCTATTACAATAGTACAGGGAGAGTTTGCATGGCCTGTGCTAAACTGATTGTGAAGGTTGCTTGTAGGCTTCTGTAGACAAAAGCAAGACAGACAAAATATCACAGCATGAACAATATATACCTAAAGCATTTGAAAATAGAAGCATGGCTGAAGCCCTATACCTTTGGAGTACTAGGTCTTCTTTGCCTTTTGCTCATCTGTTTTTGAGGGGCATGTTTTACAACTTTCGTTTGTGTTTGTTTTGCACCGAGTTTTACAACATCTGCCCATGATTTTTTAACTGTTAAAAAAAAAAAAAAAAGATGGTGAAACTTTTTAAAACCCAGCCTAAGAAAACTGAGCTTGAAATATTTATTTTTGCAAAGTACAACACTAACCAATCAGGTTGGCTTCAGAAGCCCCGCTCCTTCTCTTGGAAGAAATCATCTGTAGAATGCCATGCTGACCTCGGCTGATAGATGCTCTCTTGGCAGGTAGGTTGTTGCTCTTCCGGCCTGATTTCTTGGGAGTATCTGTTTGATATAAGGATTTGCTTCCACTGGAAGCAGGCGAGGTCCTGACTGATCCACGCCTTTGATCATTTGCCCTTGGTGGAGTTCCTCCAGCCGACTCTTGTTGCCTTGGTGACTTGGGTGGCTCCTGACAATCAAGAAATTAACATCTCTGTAATAGCTATTAAAAACCTTTAAAACAAACCTTGTAGCTTTTATAATTAAAAAAAAAATTTTTTTTTCTTGTATATTGGTGTTTTTCCTGCCTGTAAGTTTGTGTGAGGAGGTCAGATCCCCTAGAACAGGAGTTATAGACAGTTGTGAGCTATGTGAATGCTGGGAATCAAACCCCGGTCTTCTAGAAGCACAGCTCGTGCTCTTACCACTGAACCAACTCTCCAGCTCCCCATGTAGCTTTTAAATCCTGAAGCACCAGTGCAGAAGGAGACACTGCTCAATGAAATAAGGCACTTCAGTTTCAGCTCAGCCAACACCAGTCCTAGATCTGCATGGAGAGCTACTCAATTCTGGGTGGTGGGACAAGGTAGGAAGGTGTTAGGTGTACCTGTAAGACCTCTTGGTACTAAAAGAATAAAGCTATTCAGGGCTCTTTTAGGAAACTGAGGTATGTAGCCAGACCAAGGGAAAGTAACAGAACAGTGACAAAGGGCTAAAGGCCTACAGAGCTACATTTGCAGAAGAGATGTTTCACGAAAGATTTTCCTTCTCACAACCTCAAAGCATTTATACTCCTAGAAAAAAAAAAAAAATCAAAACCTTCAACAACAAAGCAATCCTTGTGATCACATATGCTGCCGTTTTTAAATGGTACCAGTGCACCCCACAGTTACATGACCACCTGAGAGCCCATATGGTTGTTTCTGGGCATGAGGTAAGTGGTACAAAACTAAGATCTCAACTGCCATTCTAGTCCACATTCTAGATGGAATGTGGACCATCTGTGAGCCATGAGGTACAAACACAATGCTGATTGTCCAACTTACCTTGATGATTTTCTTCAGGACAGCTGGACTATGAGTGGCAAGTGACTTCCTCTTGGCTGGTGTCTCTCCTCTTTTGAGTGGTGTATTAGGAGGCAAGTTTTCATCAAATAATTCAGGTCTTAGACAACCACCAAAGGATACTCGTCTTCTCTTCAAAGACATTCCCTCACTCTTATCTGAAGTAAGAAATGCACACGTGAAAAAGCAATGTAAATGCCATGCCAGAACTTAGGATTCATGTCAAAATAGCATTAAAAAGTAATCCAAGGCAAAGGCACTGAAACATGGAAACTTTATTCATAAAACTGATGAAATCAGAGCAGCCTCAGGACTTCCAAAACCATCTCAAGATAAACGAGATGCATTGCACTTCAACTGGACAGAACAGAGGCTCTCCTTGAAACTGAAAATTGCATATTATATAGAAAGTTATCTGTCTATAGCAGCAGGTGTTACTTTCTAACAGAGGAGTCAGCATCTGAGCAATGCCCTGAGAAGACTTAATAAAAGACAAACATATTTGAGCCAGACCCAGATGTACCTTATGAGTAAACTATATGAGCAAGAAAAATCTCTAGGTAGTGCTTATGAGCAGTTCACACAACCCAAACCCATTATACAACTTCCTGAACAGTCTAAATAAACCCTATGTCCAGAACAGGCACTCTACTCTGAGGCTCAATGGAATACTGGCTGATGAGTACAAGTGTCACTGACAGATAGCCACACTGATCACCAGTAGAAACTGTCCCTGACATAAAGGTTATTGCATGGGAGCCCGGAGAGCTTTCCTTTCTGTAAGCCAACATGAAACAAGTGTGTAGAAAGATGCCACAGGCTACATACAATGTAGTCTTGGGTTGTCAGTTCGTGTTTATAACAGAGATAGAGAGGGGGAGAGCTTTCTCTAGGTGGTAAAATGGCTCATCAGGTTAAGGGTGCTTTGCTGCCAAGCCTATGGACCTGAGGTCAATCACTGGGACCAAGATGGCATATGGTAGGAGAGGACTGACCACTACAACTTGTCCTTAGTCTGCTACATGAGGACCATGGCACATGCTTACTGTCTCTTTCCCAATATACTAAAATAAGTGTAATGAAAAAAATTTTTAAATGTTAATGCTTTGGCGCATATAGTACTCTGCTGGTGTAGAAACCTGAGTCCAGCCCATTGTCTATAATAAAGTGCTTACAAGAGACCAAGAACAAGTCAGGTGGTGATGGTGCATACCTTTAATCCCAGCACTTGGGAAACAAAAGCAGGAGGATCTCTATACTGAATTTTGAAATCAGCCTGGTCTACAGAGCAAGTTCCAGGACAGTAAAAGCTACACAGAGAAACCCGCCACAAAAATAAATAAGTAAATAAATAATAAATGAGGGACTAAGAACAGAGTGGGAACACCCAAGAGGCACTATGTTCAATGATACTCAAAGAACTGACAATGGTTCATTCCCAAGGACCAATGCCCTAAGATATAATTAGTATTCAGAACTGGACCATAAGTGAAAAGCCATTATGATTATACCACTTATTTTTGTAAAAGAAAATCACACTTTTCCTGAAGTAGCTCCCTCCTGAACTAGTTCCCTCCTTATAAATGGCAGTCTTCAGTGCCCACATATCAGGTAAAGCTTGCCTCTTACTGTAGTATCAGAGTACTTAGTGGGTTCTTTAGCACATGGCTAATCACACAAAACGAAGACCTTATTAACTCATAATACGTAACATAAGGTAGATAGTAACCTATTAGGAAAAGTAGACCTACAGTTAAATAACTTACTAATGGAATCACCAAAGTTGCTGATATCAACAGAACTAAGACCGGGTAGCCCAGAGCAAATCTGTTCGGCTGCAGTGGCCAATTTCTCAGGCTTGCTGAAGGCATTCTTGGGAGTTTTCTTTTCACCTGAAGCAAGGCCCGGAGTTGAAGAGAGCCGCTTTTGTGTCTCTGCAGGCAGCACCTCTACCCTTGCAGGAAAACTACTTCTCTTTCTGGAAGAGGGATTTTCTGGTGTATCAACAAAGCTGGCAGCATCTTCAATCTTCACCGAAGTTTGGTTTCTAGTTAACAGCTTCCTAGGAGTGACTATTTTATGAACTGACTTGGCACCTTCACTTTCACCTGGATTCACAGACTCTTTTCCACCAATAGCATGGAAGTCTTCATCTTTAAGTTGTTGTGACTTCCGCACCAGGGTCTTCGTTTTAGTTGTCTCAGAGAGAGAAAAGCTGGAATTCAGAGCCTCCATGGGAGTCTGAACAGACTCCACACCACCTGTCTGTTTCTCAGTACAGATCATTTCAACTTCAGGTGAAGAGGTTGCTGTAACAGGGATGTTGCCACTGGACTTTGGTCTTGCCTTGCATGACACCAAAAGCTGTGTCTCTGATTCTTTTCCTCCTGCACAATGAGGTTGTGGTTCTGATTTTCTGTGTTTCTGTGATTTTACAACCAACTCTTCCTTCAATGACTGATAAAGTTCCTTAAATGGAGATTCATTTTTCTTGCTATTACTAAGGCTATGTGCAGGAGAAGACTTCAGCTTCCTGTAACCGCTTCCTGTTGCCTTGGACTTCTTAGAGATATCCCCAGAAGTGGACTCTCTGCTACTGTGCCGTTCTAAATGCCCTGATAGATCTTGGGTAACACTGTCTTTTGAGCCCCCTGAGGCAGGGCTGTCTCCAGTGAGTGTCTCAGCATTCACCACAGATCTTCCTGAAGCAGTGATTTCTGAAGCTTTGGCATCTTGGCCTTTCCCATCTTAGCAATAAATATGATATAAGAAACAGAAGTTTAACATTTTCTTAGTGACTAACATTTCTAGAATCTGGTACCATATTTTAAATTGCTGTATAAGCTAGCTTTTCATTTAGTCCTCAAATTACTTAATTTCTTGTACTTCTCTTATTATGCTATTTCCACCTTGATAAAGCACATTAGCTCTGAATAACCAATGATGTAACATATCTCACCAGACAGCTCAAGATTAAACCCTAGGGAACAAGTTATTCAGCTATCTGCTTTGGATTGGCATGTTAAATGGAACCAGTCTCTTATGAGTTTGGGAGAACAGAAATTTTATACCTGCGTACCCATGATCCCACCCTTGCCACTATCATAATGGCCTGATGCTAAAGGTCCCAGAATAGAATCAAACCCACCAGGGTCAGCAGAGAAGCTAGCTCTTGAGGCTCGCCGCGCCGGCTCCTACAAGTAAAAAAGTAAGAAGAGCAATTATAGGGCCTTTATTTGAGAACTCATTTTGAAACAGGAAAACACTCTTTCATTACTATTATTTGCCAGACTGCTTCTTTATGACATTTGGAGACTTGAGAAATAGACCCAAGTAACTTGCAAGCTAGTGGTGATGACCTAAGCATATCTTAGCTGACTTAAACATTTCTTTCTTTTCTTTTTTAATTTTAAGGTTTGTTTTTTTTTAATGCATATGTATGTTTCTAGGCACTTTCATGTGGGGTACCTGGAATTACAGGTGGTTGTGAGCTGCCCTATGTGGGGGCCAGGAAGTGAACTTGGGTCCTCTGGAAGAGCAGCAAGCACTCTTAACCACTAAGCCATCTATCTCTCCAGGGCCCTGTCTCCCAGTAAGTTTTCTAGAACTTCTTTAGTTTCCAACATCATATGAACAAAGAAGCAAAGTTAAAATTAAGTTCCTCCATCTGTTAACTCACCACAGGCACAAACTATAGACACCCTAAGTGTCACGAGAAATGGACTCAGGATGTGCTAAACTGCAGTTCCACTAGCACCTGTGCTCTCATCCCTATCAGGTATCTGTTGTGTATCAGAGCCAGGAAACTAAGACACACGTAAAAGCAGCACACTCATGGGCACTATAACTTGAGCCTAAATATCAAATTCGACAGTCTTGCTAAACCAATAGGCAGTGCCTACACATTCTGCAATGTAGAATGATTCTGGAGGTGAAGGATTCGTGTTTGCGCGAGCTGTGAACAAAGCTGATGCTGGCTATCTTTCTTAGATGCTCACCACCTTATTTCAAGGGACAGGGTACAAACTAAACCTGGACCACACCAATTTGGCTAGACTCACTGGCCACCAAATACCAGGAATCCTATCTCTGCCTCCTCAGTGATGGGGATTACAGGTACATGCTACCGCACCCAGATTTATTTATGTGGGTTCTAGAAGACCAAATCCAGGTGCACATGCTTACAGAAAAAGCATTTTACATTGAGATGTCTCCCCAGTCCTTTAATTTTTGCATGATTATATTAAACAGGCATGACATTCCTATTCCTATCACACTATATGTATTGAATTTTAATGCTTAATTTTATTATCACAGACTAGTAACCAAACAGTATTTGTCTCTCCCATAGATTTACAACTACCAATAATTTCATTTTCTTACACCTATTAAAAGTTGAATGGTGGCTGGTGTGTGGGATACCTCAAAAACCAGCTTCCACCAGAGGTTGATGAGCACTGGGCCCCTCTAAAGAAGAAGCAATATTTAACATGGCAGAGGTCTTGAAGGAAAAGTGCCTGCTGCAAAATGTAGATGAATTCAAAAGCCCCTAATCCAAGGGACTGAAGCTAGTTCACAGTACTAGTTTGACTAGCATTCTAAAAGGAGAGACAAAGATTCTTAAGGCTTACTCTAAAGCTACTGAGTCCCACCAAGCCTCTAATTCTTGTGTGCAAAATTGTGCTTTAGTAAACTATACCAGTGGTAGTAGTCTTGCTGATACTCTCAAGTGACAGGATTCCTTCACACAAGCACTAGACTCACAGCCTTCTAAACTAGGAAGCTTTTTCATCACTCAGTTTTCACAATGTAATTATTTTTGAAACAAAGAAATGGAAGGGAACAATGAGTAAAGACAAAGTGGCTCATCAGATGTCTCCAGTTTTTATTTCTGGTGGTCTCAAACCTGGGACAAATGGCTGAGGTACTTATTAACATATCAAAGTGCACCCTGGTCACCAGGTTCTCCTAGCATCCCTCTACCTATTACAGGGCCCTCTTGTCTGACATACCCCACCCTCTAACCTAAACTTTTCCAGCCCAGGGGCTAGCCTGCCCTCCCTCGGCTCCTCTGGCCCCTGTATAACTCAACCATTTCAGCTATGCCAGGCTCTTGGCCCAGTCTGCCCCTCTAGGTCACTGGCTCCTCTCCCACTTCCCACCTCCTCGCATGGCCCAACTCAGGGCCATGTTCACTCTGGACTCCCACAGATATCTCTGTCTCTGCCTATGTTCTCTTCAAATCTATAATAAACTTCCACCATACCTAGGAGCTATCATGTCTTTCCTTTTTTTATTTTTAAATTCAGTTTCTATATATTCAGACTATTCTAAGATCACAATACAGCCTAGTAGAGTGTTACTTTACTATGTTCAGGGTCAACTTATTACCTTACTTTTGTTACTTACATTTTCCTGTTTATTGTCAGAAAGCCATTCTTGGTCACCAATTTAAAAGTGAGAAATCACTTGTTAAAAGCATATAAATGAGTTATCATCAAGACAAAAGAATCAAAGTCAAACCTGAGTATTTCCCCTCACCTGTCCAAGTGATTTTCCTGGAAATTCTGTTGATTTGTTTCCATCTTCATGACTTCTGTTTTCATACCTACAGTACATAGATGAGGTGAAGATTTAAACCTACAGGTTCAAGTGTTATAGATACAAACCCTGGAACAAACTTTAGGCTTTGTTCAGAATATTACTTTATGCAAAGAAATTGTTTTAGTTAGGAAAAAATTTTTCATACTAAAAACTTATATAAACAGAAAACTACAAAGTTATATTATAGAACTATGATCACTACTTTTCAATTTCTCTGGAGGAAAAGTGCATCTTTTTTGGGGGGAAAGGTGAGAGTTGAGACAGGGTTTCTCTGTGTAGCCCTGGCTGTCCTCAAATTCAGAGATCCGCCTGCCTCTGCCTTCGAAACACTTGGATTAAAGGTGTGTGCACCAGGCCTGGCACCAGGCCTGGCACCAGGCCTGGCAATGGAAAAGCACATCTTAGACATCTTAGGACGATGGCATTAGAATTATGAGAGATCTTGGTAATCAAATCATAGCATAGCTGAAATTCTTTACTTTGTTAACTCAGTGAAGTGGCCTAATTTGAATTTAGATGCTGTCTATGTAAGATCTGAAGGCAGCTAGCACCTGGAACCCTTCTCTAAGCTATTACAATGCTGAACCAAGTCTCTTTTAAAGAGTCTAGTCAATAAAAATTTCCTTTCAGACTATTCAGAGACAATGGACATTTTATAAGGACTGAACAGTAGTCTACTTAAAGACAAGCTTCTTAACATCAGGTTCCTAGAGGCAACAAAAGCCTTAAGAACTACAAAGAGTTGAAATTAAGGGGGTAAAAAGTTGTATTATGCAAGCAAAAGGAATTTATTTATAAATACCATCCAAAGAAATCACTAATGCAAAAGATGTGACTAAAAGATACTGTAAATGACAAAGAATTCTATGCACCACTTAGAATTATGACCAGTCCACAACCATATGCCAGGGTATAGCATCAAAATATATAAAGCAAAAAGTGATAGAGAAAATAAATCAATTAAAGAAAAGTAAACAAATCCTCAGTGAGTGAGTTCAAGATATCTCTTAAACTATTAAGTGGGGAAATAAGAAAATAATTATTAAGAATAGAGAATTTAACATGTCTACAGATAGAATACTGCATTCAATAGTTGTAGAATTCCATTTTCAAATACAGAAAATGGGAGGAGGGTATTTGATCACAAAGAAAGCCTTGACAGGGCTGGAGAGATGGTTAAGAGCACTGTCTGGTCTTCCAGAGGTCCTGAGTTCAATTCCCAGTGACCACATGGTGGCTCACAACCATCTACAATGGGATCTGATGCCCTCTTCTGATGTACAGCTGTATATGCTGATAGAGCACTCATATACATTAAATAAGTAAATAAATAAATCTTAAAAAAAAAAAAGCCTTGACAGATTTCTACTGGAAATCACTCAAATTCTCATCAAGAATGAATAAATTGTGAATACTTTTACATATTACTGTATATACTGTGCTATATTAATGAAATACCTATATTTTGAGAAGAAACAAAACAAATACACCTAAATCACACACACAAAAGAGCATTAGTCAGATACAAACACAAAGTTTTATGCTAACTATCACATTTAGAGGCCCACAAACAGGTAGCAAGACTCCAAAAACACTGCTCTCTTAGAGCCACCATGGTGGCTCAGTAAGAGAAACGTTGTGATTAGAGAGCAACAAAAACAAACAAAAAAACCTATTAGAAGTTTCCCTTATGACTTGGTGATGGTATATGAGTCAGCCAGGACTACCACAATTAAAATACAGACAGAGTGCCTTAAATAACAGAAACTTGCCACTCAGTTCTGGCTAAAAGTCCAAGTCCAAGGCATCTATAGGAACTGCTTCCTCTGGGCCTCCTGAACTGGCAGCCCTCTTCCTGCCTCTCAACAGTGCTTCCCTTGGTACACCTGCTCCCCTCTATGCTAATCCTTCCTTATTATAATGATTTCAGTCATGGGTTAGGACCCAATCCAATTGCCTAAGTTTAACAGAACAGTTTTTTTAAGGGGCAAAAAAAGGAGCTAGGAATTTGGACATTTGGCCTTAGCTGTCTAGCCAGTCTAGCCTACTTGGTGAATCCCAGGCAGTTAGAGATCTTGTCTCAAAAAAGGGGGGGAGGGGGTGACTAATACCCTGAGGACCACATCTGAGGTTGTCCTCTATATTCTACAGACACAGGTACACGCAGCTGAACACACACACACACACACACACACACACACCCTGTGAAGACATTTCCGATATCCATCAACATCAAAGAAATATCAAATGTGGTACTAGTTTATGGTTTAAAGAATTTAGAATTAAGCCAGTTAGTTTTCACCTACCTAAAGGATCGGTCAATGATTGTTATTATATCTCCATGTTTCAGCTGCACAGGCTCATCTATAGTAGCCCCGTTTACTTGTGTTGGATTTGTGGAACTGAAATTATATAATATTGCCTACAAGTAGAGAGGAGAGGCAAAGGCTAAGGACTTGCTTAAAATCAAATTCAGTAGCTTTAAGAGTTGATTTCCAAAACTCACTTACCTCTTGCTCTTTGACTTGAATTTTGCAATGTTTTTTTGACACTACAGGCAGCTGGATACGAATGTCACATTCAATACTCCTTAATAAAGAAGATAAGGATTTTTATGGGGATATGCAACTAAAAAAAAAGAAACCTTCAAAATTTCAAAGTCTTAACAGAATTTGTCTGGTATGCTTAGATGATAAGTGTGATGGCACATGGACTAACAAGATACAATGGGCAGTGCAAACAAATTTTCATAAGTACTGCCTAAGAAGCCATAAAAGATCATTAAAACTTTAGTACTTCAGAATAATTATATTAAACACATAATGAATCATATAAGTAGTTACATTTACAAGGCACAAATAAAGGAGGACTTCATATCAGTTTAAGGGAACTTTATAATGTGTTTATAACAATTTGGGTGTTGAAGGACACAGAAAGGTACTAGCATAAAATGTTCTGTGGGTAATTAATGCCTCAGTTTCTTCATACACAAAATCAGCACCTCTGTTGCTATTCAGTTACAGTTGCATGTGTGATTTTTGTAGATAGCACACAGTTAATCAATGTGAGTTTTTATCTGTTATTTTAAAACCACACCAATGTTGACAGATTCAAATGTCCTCCCAATACAAACACTAATCCACAGAAAGTATCTAGATTAGAATGTCTTTCTATAAAGTTGGCACTCTCGTGGCACAGCACGGAAGGGACAATTCCTAACCCATCCACAAACCAGGAGAGCTTTATGGATAGCTCCACCCTGAACCTTAAAGGCCTGAACATGTGAACCTCTAGAGTCTAAGCATATCTCTTCCTATAAACAAATACCACACAACCAAATGCAAATTGTTTTCAAATTTTTAAAATTTACCAAAGTATAGTTAGGTAACATTGCAAATAACCAAAATGAATGACACTTGAGACAAGAATATATACTTTCTTTTTTTTAACAACAAACCATAGAAAGTGACAGCTTCCTTACTCTCAAGAAAAAGTAGATTTGGGGTACCAAAATACCAGACAGAGACCGTATCTTGGAAGCCAGTTTTTCTGAGCAGAAAGATCACTGCAGTCCATACTTCTTAGAAACCTCAATGCCACAGACATTCTGGAGCAGAGAATCCTTCAACGCCTTGTTCGCTGTCAAATACACTATGCCTCTGTCCTGATTCAGTGATACTAGCGGCAGACACCTCTCAGGATGACATGAAAAAAAAAAATGCCACCAGACTTTGCCAAATGTCTCCCTGAGAATTATCATTCTTGCCTGACCCCCAAATCCAAATCTCCATCTTCCTACTGGACACTCACCCTGTGTCATACACTGCTTGATCCTAAGTGTCAGGCACCATATTGGGACCCTGGAGATGTAATCGTTAACAAGGCAGCCCTTGCCTTGGAACTTAGTCTCTTGGGAGATAAACACAACTCTAAAAACTAGTCACCAACCTTCATGGTGTTAGCAAAGACGAGCTTCCTTTAAAAGCACTTCTCAGGTAACATTTTAAAAGCGCCAGAAAGAGCCATAAGGATCAAACTTGGCCAAAGCGGCAACGCAAGCTTTGAGGCCCGAAAGACCTCAGAGAGGACTATCATCCGACCCCCGGGGAAGGGAACGAGGGGATTCTTCCAGAGCACCCGAGCAGGTCTCTCCTAGCTTCCTGTTTTCGGAAACATCTGGAGCCGCAGCCGGCCGCTTCAGAGCGACAGTGCCGGAGCGGCGGGACACCGAAGTCAGTTTCGCGTCTACCAAGTGTCAAACCCTGATTCCATCTGGGAAGCTCCCAGCGCCTGAGCAAGACTTCCGAACACGCTACGGGAACAGGCCTGCCCAGGGCCAAGAGCGGTGGGGTCGCGGGGGCCCGGCCTGGGGTCGCCTCGGCCCCTCCGCGCGCTCACCTTCCGAACAAGCAGGAGCTGAGGCTCAGCGGGAAGTGTGCGCCGTCGTCTCCGTTCCGCTTGATGGTGACCAGGCGAGCCGAAGACTCCATGGTCCGCCCGGCCGTCAGTCCCGAGCGAAGGGCCGCGGCCGCGGGCGGAGTAGCCTCCGGGTGGAGCTCCGGGTCCCGCCGTCCGCGCCGCTTCTCGGCGGGACCAGTCAGCACCAAGTTAGCTCTGCCGCGGCTCACGGGCCCGGCCCGCGTCAGAGCCGTCGGCTCCTCAGCAGAGGCGGCCCGACCACAGCGACCCGCGTCCTTCGCTCCGCCCCGACCCGCAACCCCGCCGCCCGCCGCCCGCCGCCCGAGTGCCACCAAAGCAGTCCCGCGCCAAGACTGCCCGCCGCGCCCGCCCGATTCAAACGAAAACGACGGTTCAAATTCTGCCGCTAAGTGCTGCGATTGGGCCAGGCGGCCAGCGAGCGACCAATGGGAAGGGCGAGGTAGGACTGGGCGGGGCCGGAGGGGGCGTGGGTTAGGACAGGTGGGCGGGGCCTCGCCACGAGGCGGGACAGCAAGGCCGGACTCCGCCGTAAACGCGGTTTGTCCGGCGCGCTGGCCGGGGCTGGTGGGTCAACAGCCGCTCCCGAGGGCTGGGCACAGCGGCCCAGCTTTTCAGAGCGAGGAGATTTGTAGAAAGCCACCTGTCGGTTCTCTCTCCGGAAATCAAACACTGACAGCAACGTGTCTTACGTTCACTAAGTCTCCCTGCCTGGTTAACGCTGGGGCCGTGGCACGGTTTTTAGGAGAAGTAACTGAAAGTTACTGCGGCAGCGCAGTTTGCAAGGCTTTGCTGTTTTGGGGGGGGGGGGGACATGCCAGTTAAAATAACCTGGGCAAGACTACACCTGCGGATCCTCCTGCAGCATCTGATGGGGTTTTCTGAGGCCAGGTGCCAGTAAGGTGAATATAGGGTACCCATGCCTTTGCTATCTTTTTTTTTTTTTTTTTTTTAATGCTCTCTCCTCCTGTTTCTGGATGTGGATCAGTGTTTTTCTTGTACGGTGTTGTGAAAGTTCCACACCTGGGGAGACAGAAACGGCGTCCACCCTCTCCTCATAAGGTCCCAAGGACAAGCCTGAAGTATATGATTCTAACAAAGGTCACCCCGGAGAACCCGTGAGTATTAGATCACCCTGAGCCAGACGGATTAGTTATTCCTACCTCTTGGCCTCTAAACCTAAACCTCTGGTCAAGACTTCAGAGATAGATTAAGGGTGTCATTGGGACTCTTTGTTCCTATTCACGATGGGACCACCCTGAAAAAAAAAATCTTCTTTTTCTGCTCTGCACTGTTACCTGCTTCTTTAATTAACCTATTAAGAATGGGCGGTTGAGCCTTTCTTGTTGGGGCTGTCAGGGTCCAAGTTCTACTCTAACTGCTTAGGCATTACTTTCTCATCCCCAAATTTAAGCAATGTACCTAATAAGGGCATCTGGCGATTTCATTCTACCAAAGGCAATTCATTAAGATTAAAATTTAAAAACAGCAAATCAGCTTGCATATTCACACACACATATAATTGTCACTTTAATGTGAATATGTGTATAAACGTGTGTGTGACTGTGGATGTGAGTTCAGGTGCCTGTGGAGCTCAAAAATGAGCACTGGATCCCCTGGGGCTAGAGTTACAGGAAGTTGTGAGTCACTTGAAGTAGCCACTGAACCCACGTTTTCTGCAACAGCAGTTAGACCTTTGAACCACGGTGCCATCTCTCCAGCCCGCCATCTCTCCAGCCCTTGGCTCATGTATTTTAAATTATTTTTTAAACTGTATTTAAGTTTTAAGCTTTATGCTTTGTTTTAAATTATAGCCTCAAGGAATGTAACTTCAAGAGCCACAGTGGTCTTTGTTACTTTTCTGTTGCCATGTCAAAACACCATGACCAGGGAAACTTATTTAAAAAAAACAAACAAAAAACAAAACAACAAACATTTCACTTGGGGCTCACAGGGTTAGAGTCCATGACCATCGTGGTGGGAGCATGGCAGCAGGCAGGCAGGTAGGCATGGCCCAGAAGAAGTAGCTGAGAGTTTCCATCTAATCCACAAGTACAAGGGTCGGGAAACCCAGGTGTGGACAGTTTAAACCTCAAACCCAGTGACACACTTCCTCCAACAGGGCCACACTACCTAATCCTTCCCCAACAGTCCTACCAACTGGGAACCAAGCATTCAAATACATGAACCTATGGGGGCTATATCATTCAAACTCCCACCCAATAGCATCATATAAAAAGCCATGTTAAAGAAGTGAGCATTATTCTCTCATCTTCATTCCTCACTTTAGAATGTAGTCTCCCTAATCTTCAAGTCTTTAGCTTTGCTTCACCCTAGCTCAAGCCGAAATTCTTTTCAGCAAAATAACCAAGAAAAGAGGGTCCTGAGAACAAAGAGAGCTACTGGGTCTGCTGACCGCACTGTTGGGCTCTGTCTTCCCAACACGGCTGACACCTGCACCAAACATGGGGGCATTCGAAGCTCTACCTCATCCCAACCTCCCCATCACTGTCACTGGGATCCCTTTAGCGTTCCCTTCCCAATACAGACAAAGATTTTTATTGTGAAAGATGGAGGGAGTCAGGGCATCAGCATATCGGCCCACAGGAGGAGCTGGGTCCATCACCAGTGAGCCCAGGGCCTGCAGAGAGGCTGACTGGCTTCAGTGCTGCCCACCCCACCCCTCCTGATTTCTCTCATTCCGGCCCAAACTCCATGCTGCTCCAGGACCCAGGCCCTCTAACAGGCACCGACCCTCCTAGTCCTCCCTTTCACAGTACTCCACGAGTCCTAACCAGGTCTGCAGTGCTCCTCTCACTAATGCCATATCTCTGTTCCCATTCTGGCCTCTGAACTTGCACGTGGCTCTTGTGGAAGTGCCTCCCATTAGGGCACAGATGGGACCCTGTCTCTTGTTTCTCTCAAATTCTGTTACCATTTCTCCATTTATTCTGTCTGACACTGAAGAGGATGAGCTGCAATCCCTGATTATCTCTGGAGCTCAGCTTGAGTCTTTCTGTAGGGCTGGCTGTGACTCCAGGCTGAGCCAGGTCATTTGACCCTCTACCCACTGGGCCTCCTTCCTTTAGAGCTTCTGATTGCTCAGAAAAGACTCAGAGTCCTGCCAGGCTCTCAAGCTATGGATTCTTGGGCCTCCCATCTCCTCATCCTCTGGACCCCTCAGTCCATTCCCAGTGTTCAGCCCCTAGCTGAGCTCCTAGCTTGTCCCTGCTGGCAGGTGCCAGGCTCTCCACAGCTCAGAGCTGACATACCCTTGCTCCTCTTTTCCCTTTAGGGGGAAAAGCAGCTGAGTTCTCACACTGGGTGGCCCACTCTGGACCAAGCAGTCGGAGATAACCCCAGGGTTAGGGTTAGGGTTCAATGTCATCTTCTGGCCTCTATACCCACATGTGTATACATGGGTATGTGCGCCTGCACACACAAGAGTACCTTGACACAAGCAAACACACATACACACTCTTCATATACACGATAAACAAATCTATCTAAACAAATAATGGTTTATTCTTCCATTTAGTCTTATAAACATTTTACTATAGGTAAATGTTACGATGATGATTCCGTTTCCCTCCATTTGAACACTGATGGGTTTTGCTAATGTTTTATTATTCTAATAAATGCTTTGATGAACATGCTGAGACACAACTTTGTTTTGATATGGAGATCTTAGAGCTTCCAAAATCTAGTCTTTTATCATGCAAGCAGTACAGTACATACTTCAGTCACCAAACTGCTGTCTTCCCAAAGGGCTGTCACAGTCTGTCCCCCAAGTTCAATGCTTGAGGACATCTGCTTTATACCAGATCTTTTCTTCATTAGCATTCAAAATGTCCTGCTAATTAGTTTGGCCAAAAAGGAGTATGATTTCGATTTGAATTGCTCAAATTAACATTGTTTGAAAGCTTGCCCCTACATGTTTAAATGTTTCATCTTCCAGACTTTTGTGTTATTGTCTGGTAATCTGTTGCTGTCTCAAAGCTCTCCTTGCTGGTTTGTCTAAGAAACACATATATCTTTGTTCTGTATCGTCAGAATACTGAAGATTAGTGAAAGCCACTTTGTTGGCTGCCTGGAGAAGATGTATGTGAGGATTGGAAACCTCTCTAAGCAAATTCCAAAGGGGAAACCAAGGCAACTTCTTGTCCCCCTTAAGTTGCTTCTTGTCTGGTATCAGTTCCCAGCAACAAGGAAAATCACTAGTGGAGCACAGCTCCAACACTGCCCATCCACAGGTGTGTGTGTGTGTGTGTGTGTGTGTGTGTGTGTGTGTGTGTGTAGTGTAGTGTAGTGTAAGGAGCAGCTTGTGCACTGCCCCTCCACAGGGGGTATAAGGAAGTGCATCATAGCAACCCCTCAGGAAAGGATACAGCAGATCGATTAAAGAATCAGATTCTGACAAAATAAAGAGAAAACTCCTTGAGGGTGTGTGTGGATGTCTTATGTCCCTGAAAGCCAGCCTTCATCAATCATCATCAATACTCTAACAAGTAGCTCAGACACCTTTCTAGCTTATGGTCTCTTTAACTTCAACAACAACTTTGGACACGATCTGATAGCTTTTTTTCCACCCAACGATGAAGTGAGCTAATTCAAGCCAAGTTAGGGTAAATAAAAGCAGGCTCATTGGAGGTAGCTCTTGGCAGGTTTATAGGTCCCTGCAAGTCACAATGTGGAAGGGGCGTGGAAGCAAAGAAAAAGAAAGTGCACACGCAGAGAGAGGAGAGAGAGGGAAAGCAGAGAGAGAAAGAGGAAACGCAAAAGAGAGAAGAGACACAGAAAAAAGGTGGGGGGACCAAAAGCTCCTCTGGGGAGGAGAACTCCTCACCCCTTACCGACCCTTGCCCTGCCCTCCTCCTCCCCCTCCCCCTCCCCGCTGGAAGTTGCTGGGGGGGGGGGTTCCGGTATGCCAGCCACGCCCTGTAACAGGTAGAGACTGAAACCAGAACTTTGGTTAAAAAGGCACCTCAGCTGCTTGTCCGGGGTCTGAAGCCCAACATGATCCACAGTTGATTTTCTGTCATCATGGAAAGGA